ACTGGACCCAACCCCGGTTCCGTACCCTGACTCCGGCAGGGCTGATCCGGGATCTCGATGGTGTAGTCCAGCTCGGCCGAGGCCATGGTGAAGGGGCAGGCTCTCAGCACAGGCCTCCCGCCGGAACTCCGGCTCGCGCGCCCTCACCTCACCCGGGCGCCTCCTGGGCGCCGCCCAGTGACCACCCACCTTCCTCGACGCTGCCCAATCCCCGAGCACGCTCTGTGACCTCCCTCCTTAGCAACCGCCGAGTCTCTTTGGGAGCCTCTCGCCTCGCCCCAATAGCTCTGCCCTAGCAACCATGTCCCGCCCCATCTTATCGCTGGCCCGCAGCCATTGGGTGGATTTCTTGCTCCGATTCAGATATTGGTCAGCTTGGACGCCAGTCAGGAAGAGTCCCCGCCCTCCTGCGTAGGTAAGAGGGTCTGCGGAAGAGTTGCTGTATTCTGGGAATGAGGAGGGTCTTCCTTCTCAACGGCGTCTAATCCTCCGGGGTGGACGGCTCTGCCCCTTGATTTACATCATCTAGCCACCCCTACCAGACGCAGCTCCAGGAGCTGGAGGTAGAGAACCGTATAAAACGGCCTAAGGGGTGCGTGCCAGCCCATCCTCCACCCAGGGAGGGTCAAGGCATATTCTGGCTGGGGAGGTGGGTGCTGTTGCAGTAGGTGGTGTCTTCGAGAGATGACTAGAAAATGCCTTCCTTGTTCGTGGGGGACACACAGAGGATAGGGGGTACAGTTTTCTTGCTTTTATGCACGCATTTGACAATTATTTACTGGGCACCTGGTATAAGGTGGGCGCTAGTGAGAATTAATTTTAAAAGGGGACCCCACATGAACTAACTCCCGTTCTGTGCAGTTGATAAATACTAGAAGAGTAGGCCTTAATGATTTTAGGAGCTCAGAATCAGAGATAAGCGGTGTTCATGGCAGTGGGGCTGGCTCTTCCATTTTGAAAGATTTGTGGAGATATGGGGGGCAAAAGATTCCTTGCAGGAGTTCAAAGAATGGAAAGTAAAAAGTGATTGCTAGGAATTATGAGCACCTTCTGGCCAGGGCAAGACTAATGTGATAGCAACCATGGAAAAAAAGTTAGACCCAGATCTTGGAGAGTCTTTGATGCCTAGCTCAGCTTTGCACTGACAGGCAGATCTTACTGAAGATTAAAAAAAAAAAAACCTTCCAGTGCATATTACAACTAGAGTGCAAGAGCTTAGAGCTTATACTGAGGACAATGGGGCATCATTGCAGGGCTTTGAGTAAAGGAATAAAAATCAAATTTGTGTTTTGGAAAGGTCAATGGAGAAAACAGATGGGGATTGGGAGGAGGGAGACCAGATGGGAAGGGTGGTGGTGGCCTAAATCATAAAGAAATAGCCAGAAAGAAGAGACGGTGATGAATTCTATAAACATTTATGAGGTAAAAAGAACTGGTCTTGGTGTCTGGTGGGATAAGTAAGAGAAATGACTTCTAAATCCCTGACTTGAGTAACCAGAAAGGAGGGGAGTCAGGATATTTGGAAGATGATCTTTTCTGGGCATGAGGAGTTTGAGGTACCACTAGGCATGCACCTAGCAGGCAGCTGGATATGTCTGAATGGGGTTTGCAAGATACGTCTAAGTTGAAAACAGAAATGTGGTGGTCCTTATGCAGTCCTTATGGGTAGAAGCCACACCACTTGTTGGTGTTGGTGTTGATTTGCTAGGCTTTCCAGAGGGGATGTGTAGAGTAAGAGAAGGGAGCCTAGGGCATAGCTCTGAGATGCACTCAAGCCTGAAGGTCTGGCAAAGGTCAGGCATGAACCTGTAAAGGTAATTGAGATGAAGTTTCCAGAGTAAGATTATCAGGAGTAGAATGTGGTCTTTCAGGGAGGTAAATGTGCAGGCTGGTGACTGATCAAGTAAATTAAGGCCTCTAAAATTTCACAGGTTTAGAAACAAGGAAATTGGCGGTAACTTGCAAAAGCAGTTTCATGGAGTGATTAAAGCAGACATCAAACTACAGTGAGTTGAGAAGTGGGTAGGAAGTGAAGATGGCAAGTACATTATACTTTCAAAAAGTTTGGAGGAAAAAGAAAAACACCAACTCCTGGAAGGAGACCCCAAACAAAGGTTTTTAGGCAGACAGGAGAAATGCTGTTGGCATGGAGCCAGCAAAGAGGAGCAAAATAAAATTATAGGGGAAAAGTAGATAACTAAGAGAATGGTGTTCCCGAAAAAAGAATAAAATGGAGCATCCAAAGCATTGGTGGAGAAATTGACTTAGAAAGGTGGAAGGCTAATTGCACTATGACACAGAGGAAGTAAGTAAGATTAGTGTGTTAGTAGATTTGGTGGCAGAAGTTGAGAGAATTCTTGTTTGCTGGTTTCTGTTTTTTCTGTGAAATAGGGACATGATATCCACCGGTGGGATTGGAGATAGTAAGCAAGGCTTGAGAAAAGCGAGAAAGAATGAAGTAGCTGCCATGGACAGTGGCTGCAAGATGACTGCGCACGCCTGTCGAGTTTGGTGACAGCTTGTAGCAAAGAAGTCTGTGTGGCTTTGTGATATAAACACAAATATAAACCCTTCTCCTGATGGGTATAGAGAAACTAGTTGAATTGATCCAGATTTGGGTTTTATCGGGTGACTAAAAATAGAAGAACAAGGGATTAGGAAGTTGAGGATCCTTGCAAAAGAATCGTTGAGAGGATGGGCATAGAATTTAAACTCCACAGAAGAGTAAAAAATGTCATGGATGGGCGCTCCCTGGCGGCGCAGCAGGTTAAAGCACAGCACTAAGAAGCTGTCGAAGCCACTGCAGCAGAGTCGATCCCCAACCAGGGAGGTGACCACATGGCTGGCATGTGTATTTCATATGCTGAATGGCATGTGAAACCTTCGCAGTAGCAAGAATTTTTTTTTTAAGATTTATTTATTTATTCATACAGAACTGGGTTACAGGCCAGAGATGCGGAGGGTGAGAGGATTCACCAGAGACAGAGTGGGGAGCAGAACAGGCAGATCAATGAAGTACACTGCTGAGGGGAGCAGCAGGCGGGTCAGGAGAGGTCTGCCGCACCATGTGGATCACCTCCGGGGCAGGCGGGGATCGAACTCATGCAGAAGTGGCTTAAGCTTTAACCCGCTGCACCCCAAGGAGGGCCAGTAGCAAGAATTTTTACAAGATGGAGGTTGAGTAAGGAACATAAAGAACTGGATTGAGGTTTGTTTGTTTGTTTGTTTAAGATTTGTTATTTATGTATGCATATAGAACTGGGGTACAGGCCAGAGGTGCAGGGGCGAGAGAGGATTCACCAGAGAAGAACAGGCAGATCAACTAAATACACTGCTGAGGGGAGCAGCTGGCAAGAAACAGAGTTGTGCTGCGCCATATGGGTCAGCTTGTTGGCTGGGGTCAAACTCATGCTGCCATGGCTGCTGATAGATTCATAGTGCTGAGATTTACCCCCTTGCACCACCAGGGAGGCCCAGCAGATGGACTCTTTAGGGAAGTGATGGGTGGCAGGAGAGGTCTATAAGGAGGTTAGAGTGAGGGGCACAAACAAGGGAGTGTGTGAGAAGGAAGTGCCACATGGTAGTACTGTGGCCTTAAGTAGCAGTAAGGACAATGACACCCTGTTTTTCTGGATCTGAAGTCTGGAAGGAGAATGTTACTCTCTCCCCCCTCGCTGTGTCTCTGTCTCTGAATGGAGTTGAGGAGTAGGGGGTGGGAGCTCAGGAGAACACCTCAGTCCCACCTGCCCCATTTTGCAGGTAGAACCTGCAGGAGCAGGAGAGAGTGACTGTCTCTGGACCTTCTGGGGACAGTGAGCCAGGCACATACCTTGGAGGCATCTTGTTTTTAGAAATATATCTTTTGATTTAGGGAGGAGAGAGCCCTGTGAGAAATTTTATTTAGAAACAAGACCTTGTGACCTTGATTTTTAATACCTCTTCTCACTTGTCACGAAGGACCTTTGGTTTAGAAAGAGAGCGAGGGTTTTTGAAATTTTCTGATTTCAGTTTCCCTGCATGAAAAAGAACCATTTGGCTGCTATAGCCCTGATATCTGGTTGGGTCCAGATTTATTAATCAACCACCTTTGAAGATGGAGACAAAATTAAAAACAGAGTTCACTCTGGGCTGAAGACAAAGTCAGTCTGTTGTCCTTGCAGAAGACCTTGCCAGGGTTAGAAGGCCACAAACAAACCAATTTGGACTGAGGTTCCTAATCCGGATTTTAATTTCATGTGCTTTGATTTTTCAGACCCTTTTCTCTCCAAGGTAAAATAATGACTCTTTTAATTGGCTGCCACTTACAGAGAGACTCCAGGAAGCATGATGGCCTACGTCTATTTTCCTCTGGCATTCCATGTGTGCTCCAGTCCTTATGATCAAGCCGGTGAAGCTGGCTTTTACTGCCTACTGCATGCCATGACCAGTTGACTATAAATTAAATCCTCTTTTCCAGAAGCCATTTTCCATTAGTGCTAATTTGTTTGCTTCTCATTTCTACTCATCATTAGAGTCTCTAGCTGTGAGCACCAAATTGGAAATAATTTCTTTGACATTTCAAAAACTTTTCTCCCCTTCTTGAATGCCATTTGGCTGCAGCTAAAGAGCATTATGAGTTGCAGAGGAATACTTCGCTCCAATTACAGTTTAACTGCCCGTTCGTGGCACTGAATCCCTGTCCTTGGTGACCAAAGATGACACCACTGCTGACATTGCTGTTTCCTGTCATGGCTGTAAAATGCCTCATAGACCTTGCCCTGGCCTTCTCGGATGGAGATGCTGTCCCTTCGCACATGGCAGCTTTGGGAAGTTGGTGCTTTTACAGACCTACATATCATGGACATTCAGATATAACCATCTAAACAGGAGGAGGCCGGTGTCTTCACTCATTCACCCAGCAAGCATTTATTAAAACTTCTCTCTTGTGCCAGGCCCCGGGGACACACAGAGAGGGAAGACCCACCCCTGCCCTTGAGGAACACACACTAGTGAGAGGATGGTTACGCGTGACAGGTTAGGGAGAGCAGAGTGGTCACAGAGCCACTGAGGAATTAGTTGGAGGTCAAAAAAGGAGCTGCCATCCCTAATGGCAGAGCAGCTCTGAGCTCCAGAGGGAAGGGCCAGAGGATGTAGAAGAGACTGCAGATGTGCTTCACCTGGGGTCCTTTGCCTTCACCCCAAAGCTCCTCTCAACAGTCTCAACTCCTTTGCTGCAAACGTAGAAAGGAATTGAACTCTGGAGACCGCCACATCAGGACCTCAGGCGTGGCTGAAGGGCAAAGGCAAGACACTTGGGAGGTCCTTGAATGCCCCGTGGAAAGTGGACTTTATCCTGTAGACCAGAGGCAGAAATGTGCCTCTGGGACCCTCCCTCCGTGGGACCCTAAGAGAGGCTTGAAACAAATAATATATGTACATTAAACGAGACTTAATATATACTCAGGAAATGTTAATTTCTTCCTGTCATCACATCTTCTCTCTGTCCTTTACCAGGGAAAACATATCATTTCCTCTTTTACTTTAATAGTTTAGAGACAGCTTAGATACAGACTCTATCTAGCAATTGACTCTTGAAACTCATTATCTCTTTTTATCACTATTTTAAATTATTTTTAAAAAATGCCTTTAAGGGGTCTCTGTCTGTAATCCTCATCAAATCTTATTTTGAAGAAAAGTTGAGATAAAAAACAAATGACTGAAAAAATTTATTAGACATCTGCCATTTATCCCTCCCACCTCACAAAATCTCATTGACATAACACTAAAAAATATTAAAAGTGCAGAAATATGAAAAAGTATGAAGTCGCAAAAGTCCAGAGGAGGAGGCAACAGCAGATGAAAGCTGAACAAATATTTGGAAGGTAGATGGCAGGGATGGGAAATGTACCTGGCTTGCATCACCCTAGGAAATGACAAAGTAAGCACAACAAGGAGAGATTACCAATCAGCAAATCAATTCACCCGGTTTAACCTCCAAGAGACTTAATGCTGGCAGCACTGAGTTAATACAGAGGTCAGAAATGAGAGGTGTGGGGCTGAACACAGAGGTTAACTAAATTCTGTATACAGAGCCCTTTGCCTTCACCCCAAAGCTCCTCTCAACAGTCGCAACTCCTTTGCTGCAAAAGGAGAAAGGGATTGAACTCTGAAGACCGCCACATCAGGACCTCAGGCGTGGCTGAAGGGCAAAGGCGAGACACTTGAGTGATAGAGGGAAGCTCTGTGGTGCCATGTAGCAGTCCAGCCCCACCCCTGGGCCACCTCCCAGGATGCCAGCAGCCAGGCATTCATCACCCTGTCTTCTCCCCCTCCCTGGGAAAGTGGGAAAGTCTTCTCCAAAGGCTCTTAGGATCCCAGGAAGAAAAAGAAAGGGGAAAAAAAAGACACCCACTGACTGATATTTATAAGGACCTTAATGAAAAGAGTCATTGTCTGATAAAATTCCAAAATCTGAAGGACACAGCCCACCAAGGGCCCTTGTTTTGAATGCAGAATACTTGCCCCAAGGCATGTCATTGTATAATTTTAGGAAAGGTTCTAAAAAACATGGAGAGTGAAAAGCCCCAGACAAAAGGCACAGAAATCAGAACAAAGTCAGGCTTGTCAACAGCAACACCACGGAGGCTCAAAGCAGAGAGGAGCTTACTTCGAATGTGGATTTTCACACCCACCAAACTAACAGGTGAAAATATTTTCAGAATTTGAAAGACACGCAAGTTAATTTTTATTCTCTAGAAAACTACTGGAAAATATACTTAAATAAAAGTAGAGGAGACAGAAGATGTGAGTCCAGGAGACAAGACAGCAGACAGAGAAGACTAGCAAAAGGAAACCCCAGGTGGTTGATATTGGTGACCCAGGCTCAGCAAACAACCAGCCCAGGCAAGAGACAGGTCTGTGAGGCAGAACCTGAGGGAAAAGATGAGACTGATCCGTTATGGGTTGAGCATTTGGGAAAAGTCCTTACTATGTGTCTGGAACGTGTGGGAGCAATTGGCTTTTGGTTCTTAGAAAACTAAACAATTGAATAAAAAGGAGCCGTTATTATCTCCAGGTAATACCAGCTTATAAGCGGCAGAAAATGTAATAGTACTTCGTAGGTTAAATGAGCAATATTTATTTACTTGGTCAATAATGTATAAACACTACTGATTTAACGAACGTTGCAGAAAACTCCGTTGTCTGGATAAGGAGAGAAAAAAAGCGGGGAGGGGGTGGTTAGAGTGGTTCAAAAGAGCTAATTCCTCAACCGAAATAAATACTGCGGAGACTGGTGAATCCATAACAGTAACGGAGGCATCTGTGGGGGCGGCCGAAACAAACAAGCCCAGACTGGCCCATAACCAACAGACACTTGTCAGCGCACAATTTGGAGGCCCTGACCAAGGTGTCTGAGATCAAGGGTCCCAAGGTTGGTTTCTAAGGCCGTTCTCCTTGGTCTGATGGCCTTCTGGTGTCTTCCTGTGGCCTTCTCTCCATACGCATCTGTGCCCCTCTTTCTTCTAGAGAACCAGTTACATTGAGCTAGGCCCCACCCTAATTATTTCCTTTTAACTTCATTACCTCTTTAAGGACCCCATCTCCAAAACATCCCCATGACGAGGTGCTGGGCATTCAGCCCCTAGCAGCAGTATATGCTCCTTAGTGGGAAATACTGAGGTGAACCCCAAAAGAAACAGCCCTAAGAGTTGAAAGTGGCGCTCTCTGGACTGAGGCTGAAGGTGGAGGGACAGGCTCTCTGGCGTTCTACTGAATAGCTGTGGGAGCTGGGCCTTGAACCCAGGCTGACAGCACAATTTCACCTTCTTCCTTCCACTATACCACAAGAGACACAGCACCTGGCAACGTGTGCCGCACCCAACCTTTGCTACAAGTTTAGTGATTTAGCACTATGTCCCTGGGACTGCCATTTGTTGGTTTTCTTTTCCTGTTTAAGAAATAAGAAAACTGGTCCCTCCCTGGTGGCGCAATGGGTTAAAGCACAGCACTGTGAAGCTGTCATAGTCACAGCAGCAACGCCTTCGATCTCCAGCCAAGGAGTGACCCATGTGGTGTGGCAGACCTCTCCTGTCTCACCCACTGCTCCCCTCAGCAGTGTATGTCAGTCAAGCTGCCTGTGCTGCTCTCCATTCTGTCTCTAGTGAATCTTCTCACCCCCACCCCGCATCTCTGGCCTGTACCCCCGTTCTTGTATGCACAAATAAATAAATCTTTAAAAAAAGGGGGGGAAGACTGAGATCTCAGGAAACCCAGAGAGGCCCTAATGTGAATCATCCAGCTGAAAGTTAGTCTGCTGTCCTGCTGTCCTCGGACTGCTGGGGGCTGCTGTGGTTGGTTGCTCTCTGACTTTTGATCCTAGCAAAGGTCCATCCAGGGCAAGCCCAGGGCCCTTTCCCCTGTGCCTAGAACAGCCTCCCTGGGGCCTAGAAGAGCCACTCACCCTGTTCTCCTGAGGTCAGCCTGGGCTGTTGAGGGAGGGAGATCGTCTCAGACTCAGGGTTCATGTCATTCAGTGATTGATGCTGATGTCAGGAGGGGGTTGGTCATTTTTGTGTTTGGGTTGATCCACTGCGTTCACCTGGTTGTTAAGGCTGATGGATTTCGGGTTGTTTCCATCCCCGAGGCCATGAGGATGCCCTTCCTGGGAGCACATACCCAGTGTCCTCTGAGGAATAGTGGAGGTTGGCGTGTATGTATGGCGGTCTCCGCATGCCTCAGATTATAGCTTCCTAATAAAATTCTGATAGCTGGGCCCCATCAATATCTCAAATACATGTGAGGAAACGTTAATTTAGAATCAATTTTAGGATGTTTCAGACTGTAAAGTCCTTTTAACTAGATCTCTGGCGAAGATGTAGAAGCACTTTATGGGACTGTAAATTTCATGTTGAACAGTCTTGGTGAAATACACATCTCCCCTACACACAAGCTGTTCTCTCCATATCAATCATGGCCCCTGCAAGTAATGTTTCACAAATATTCTGTAAATCACAGAAAACCCCGTGATAATGTGAAATATGACTTTCACTTGTCTGTTAGACAAAAGAATCACACATGCCTCTCTCCCATCAGCACTAACATTTGTTATGGATAATAACACTTTCAATCACAACTATTTTTGGAAAACGGGTTTATTTTAAACCTTTCCTCCCCTCCTCCCCCAAAAACACTCTCACAAGGACACAGACTCCTACAAACCACAGCCCATTAATCCAACTCTGAAATGGGAACTTTTTCTTCCTATGAACTTTAAGTTGTTGATAAGAAAGTTAGTATAAAAGCCCAGAGTACAAGGTCAAGGAACATTTTACCTTAGCTGATAAGCCAGAGGGGACTGGGTCCCTAGCGACCCCAAGACTCTGACCCTGTGTGAGGTGAGGGTTGCCAGAGGCCCAGGTTTTTAGCAGGCACCCTATCTCACCCTGAAGCCTTTGGTCCTTTTCCTTCCTGGAGTCAGCAAAAAATAATAATAATAATAATAATAATAAAACAGCTACAGTTTTAGTTCCTAAATAGTCTCCTACCTCAATAGTCTTAACTCTGTCACAACACAGGTGACCTGTCCCAGAGGCATATTTTTTTTTTTTCTTTTTTAAAGATTTGTTTATGCATACAGGAACTGGTGTACAGGCCAGAGGTACAGGGGTCAGAGAATTCACCAGAAACAGAGTAGGGAGCAGAACGGGCAGATCGACTGAAATACACTGCTGAGGGGAGCAGCTGGCAAGATAGGAGAGGTCTGCTGTGCCATGTGGGTCAGCTCCCTGGCCAGGGATCGAACTCATGAGGCTGCCGATAGCCTCATAGTACTTGTGACAGCAGAGAGGCCCCCAGAGGTGTATGTTGAATGTCACTAAACCATGCAGGTGATGGGGGGTTGCTGGACAAGTAAAGCCCGTTGAGTAATCCGCAGGACTTGCATGGATGCAAATGGCCTGTTCACCTCTCTGTTTTCCCTCCCTCTCTAGCCAACTACAGGACTGACTGACCATGACTTCTATAAAGGAGCAGGCGGCAATTAGCCGGCTCTTGAGTTTTTTACAAGACTGGGACAATGCTGGCAAAGTGGCAAGGAGTCACATCCTCACCAAGTTCATTGAAACCAACCAAGGCAAGACAGCCCCAGAACTGGAGCAGGAGTTTTCCCAGGGAGCCAGCTTGTTCCTGGTGCGTTTGACCACCTGGCTCAGGCTCACGTATCCTTTGCTGAACAGAAGAAAATTTAAATGGTGAAGGTAATCTTCAAAGGAGAAAAGCAGAGAAGATTATTGAGGAACCCTTCTCGTGACTCTCTCTAAAATTTTAGGACAGGACCTCTGGGGAGAGAAATTTCATCCCAAAGGCAGGAGTCCCCTCAGCCTCCTGACTTTCCAGTCTATAACTAGATCCTCATTCTCATCCCCACCCCTTTTGCTCCCAAGCTAAGGGCTAACCCTCTATATATGCATTTAAATCCCCTGCCATCGCCTAAGGGGTTTTCTTCTCTCTGCTCTGGCTTTCTTTCTTGTCTCATTATCAACTTGTTTCATCAACATTTCTATGGCTCAAGTATTTTCTCCCTGAAAAATCTGAATTCTTATCTCAAGCCTATATTCCTCCCAGCTCCTGCCCTTCACGGTGGAGTTTCTCGGCAAGGTTTTGGCCTTCCTGTCCCCATTCCCTCACCTCCCTCTTCTCCCCACTCCCTGGAGTCTGACTTCGTCCTCTCCACTCCACTGATGCAGGTCTTGCGTGGCTCACAGTGGTTTCTAGTTGCAAAACCCAATGACTACACCCCCAGTCCTGACTCGACCTCTCGGGAGCACTTACCAATCAGCCCTTCCTACCTCTCAAAACATTCTTCCCTTGGTCTCTGCAATTCCACTTCAGTTCCAGTTCTTTCTTTCTGTCCTTTGTTTCTGTTGCTTAACAGCCCTTTAAATGTCAGGATTCTTGGGATTCTCTCCACATCCCTCTGCTCTTCTCGCTGTCAGAGTCTCCCTGAGTGATCCATCAGCACCACTCCATTTAAGGACAGCAAATGTGTGCCCCCGCACAAATTTCTCTCTGGATCTAGATCTTGCTTCCACCACTGGACTGAGTTCCATACCAGGCTACCCACTGACCATCGCCCTGTATCCCACAGGAGGACTCTCACAACTGAGTCAGACTTGGGAGGTAAATAAGGGGTGCCATTCTATAGGAGAGAATACAAGAAGAGGAGCGATTTGGGGGTAGACAAATTTGGTTTAGAATATTCTGATTTTGATGCACTTGTGTTTGGGAGCTGGGAAGCAGAATGAGCCTGAAGGCACTACTGGGGTGATAGTTTGAGTTAGGTGTGGGGTTGGGGGCCTTTCTGCTCTGTGTGCCCATAGCACATGGTTGGCTCATCTCAAACTCAGTCATTACACGCTTTTCTCCTTGCCTGGATGCTCTCCCGCCACACCCCATGCCTCCTCCTTATTTGACTAATTACTACCCCATTATTCAGGTATCCATTTAAACATCATTTTCTCAGGAAGTTCCTTTTCCTGAGCCCCAGATTAGCTTAGATGTCCTGTTCCACATACTCATAGCACTTCCTCTATTGTACTATTTTCCTTTGTCGTACTATTTTATTACCTGCTTACTATCTTTCTTCCACCACTGGATTGTAAGCTCTCTGAGGGCAGGAATTGCATTTGTTCTTCTCATCTTTGACTTTATAACACATGGATGGCCAATAAAAGAATGAATGAACCAAAGTCCGCAGCTTCGCAGAACTCACGGCTCAAGTGAACACATCCTCTTTTCCTTACAGTTAAGTCACTGATGAAAATCAGCAATTCATGCCGAGAACACCAGCCAAAGGGAACCTTTCTCCAGGTTGCCCCAGTGCCCTCAGAGAGGAATGCACATAAAAGGTTTAAAATGAAGATGACCAATCAGTTGTCCCCTTACTCCCAAGATGCAGAGCTAGTAGGTTGAGGGTCCCTGGGCTCTTTGTCACAAGCACCTTGGGTAACATCAGAGCCTGCAACCTGGCTTTGTTCCCACATTTCGCGATGCTGACCAGAACTGCCACTAATTTAACAGCCTGTTTCATGTCAGGATGAGGTGAGTGCAGTAGGGTGATACAACATCAAATCCCATCTGTATTTAAAACTTGGATATTTTCTTCATCATGGATTTTTTTGTATTTCTTTTTGAAACAGTGTGTTAAAATAGTATTTGATTACAGAGCTTTTGGGTAGTCCCTGAAATGTCACACCTGAAGCACGTGCTGACTCCCAGTCACCTCATCCCCGGCCCCCCTCACACTCTCGTCTCTTCGGCTGTCTTCCTTTGCTGTTTCTCAGTCACTGTTGCAGAATCTTTTCACCCCCCCCCGACCCCACCCCAGCTTAAACATTAGTGTTTCCAAGAATTCTGTGTTGAACAGACTTCTTACTCACTTATCACACTTGCTACCCTAGTCATTATATCCTATCCCAGTGCTAACCAGAGTGCCTACCATTTGGGGGTACTCAGTCAGTGCTAATTGACCGATTAAATGAACTAGACTTCTGAGCCACAGTAGCTTATATAGTTTTACACCTGATATTGTTCATAAGCTCCTGACTTTCTGGAACCTTGCCATGCAACAGAGAAAAGTGACATAGTGTGGGCCAGCATGCACCTCTGCCCCACCCCTCCAGCCACAGCAGGTTTTGGAGGAAAACAAACCAAGGTAGCACCATTATGATTTACAAACCTGACTACCACATAGTCCCACACAAGTTTCAAGCCCCTTTTTAACCTGAACTTCTAGAACAGATGAGTAAAACCGAGAATTTCTATATTGCAATGACAAAAGTATCAGTGCCTATTTATTAAATGGTTTTATGTTCTAGGCACTGATGTACTATGCAAACATTATCTCATTTGAGCCTAACACCGTGCTTACTAGGTGGTTGACATCCCGTTATATCCCATTTTATAGGTAAGAAAGATGTGTCTCGAAAAGGTTAAGCTATTTACTAATAAATGACAGAGATATGGTTTGAACGTTATCTGCTATACTTCACTGTCCCTCACGCCCCACACCCCGTGGACAATGCAGATCCACAGTTCTACCTCCAGCACCACCCAAGGAGAGAGTCAGCATGAGTAATCACGCTCCCTTCCTCTGTCTACAGGCCAGAAGGCCTGACAATGAGAACTCAGACCCTGAGTCAGACTGCCTAGGTTCAAGTCCCAGTTCTTTAGTTAACTTTGAAACCTTTGACAGTACCCTGAGATTGTTTCCTTATGAAGTAAACGGAAACACTAATAGCACACACTGCTGCGTGCGGTGAGGGTCAAATGAAACAAGACAAGCAGTGCAGTTAGCACCATGCCTGGCACACAGTAAATGATGAGAACTTGTTAGCTACCACTGATATTGCAGCAAACTTCTAGAACTAATTGCCGGAAATATGGACCAGAAATATTATACAGTGAATAGCTATAAGAATGAGACTAGGCTGAAACAGAGGAAAAGGGTGGTGGCAAAAGTTGGCAAACTAGCTGGTAATGGAAGAAATGAGAGAGGATGCACTGAGCGGAAGTGGGACTGGGGTTCGAGGGGAGCAGTACAGACACGACCCCCAGGGTTGATAGCTTAGCCCCGAGCTATAGCGGCAACAGGCCAGGAGCCTAGCTCCAGAGCAAACACTGGTTTTGCAGTCAAGAGCCTTTCCTAATGAGCCAATCTGTCTCTACTTCTATTGGCATCCTGGGAACCAGGGTGCAGCAGAGATAATTTGCCTCGCATACCCGCCCTGGTCTCCCCCCTCCCCAACAAAGCACCATTACCTCCAACCCATTACATTAGCCTTTATCAGTCTTGGAAGCTCTCAGTCATCCTCTATGAGCTGCAATAATTTCAGCTAATTTCTTAAGTGTTCTAAGAGCCTGTGATGTGTTATGAGCCTAGTAATTGTTGACTGGTTTCCTTTCTGTTGTGGCTTGATTTCATACCTTGTATCTGAGCTGATGCGTGCTCTGGGTGCTTTATTACAACGAAGCTTTTTGCAAAGGCTCACATTAAAAAATAACATTAAATACTGAGGTTGTTTTAAATCAGCGTTTAATTTTTCCACCATCTCCTGTTGTACTTATTAGGAAGGCATGCAATTCTTCATAAAGATAGTGACCTCCAGTGTAAAGCTTTGAGCAAACACAAGATTGAGAATTAATGATGAAGCTGATTATATTTAGAGAAGCCTAAGAATGAGGCACAAAGTAATGAACTGCGCTGAGACCCTAGGGTGCACTGGTCATGGCAGACAGAGGCTTGGAACATTGACCCCCAGGTTTTTCTACGCACCTTTTATTCATCAGCGCCTCCTTGCTCTCAGGCGGCCTGTGAGACCCAAGGTGGCTGAACCACCCCAGAAGCACTGCCTGAACCCTGAATCCGCACCCCTGTCCTCCCTCCCCAGGAGTGTATCCACATCCCCTTCAGTCTGGTGGCCCCTCTCAGGTCAAGAGCGCAACTCAGCCGCTGTTCATTCTGGGCCACAGGTGGAATCAGGATGGAACTCAGGATCTGGTTTTGGTGTAGAAAACTACTCGAGCTCACTCCTTAACTTATCGCACAGTTACATGACTCCCTCGTGTTTAAATAAGCTCCTGAGATCTATTGGCATCTTCTTATCAGCTGTAAGCAGGTGAGTTCGAACCTGGAGCTGTTCTGGGGTCTTGGTTGCCTATTGGCTCAGGTTGCCTATTGTCTTTGGGCTTCACACACCACATGGAATTGTAGGTGCTTGTTACTCATGGGTGTCACACTGCCTTCAAGGTGAGCCCAGTGGAGAATCAGCTTGGTCCTTCTCTACTTGCTCCCCCACCCCATGACCCCCATGGACACTTTACTAGTCAGCATCCTCTTGGTTGTGAATTACAGAGAATGAAGTCATATTGGGCTCGGGTAAAGAGAGAATTTATTGGCTCACTAGCTGGAAAGCCAAGAGCATGGAAATCCTTATTTCAAGCCTGACTAGGCCCAAGAGCTCAAAAAAAAAAAAAAAATGTCATTGATACTTGGTCGGTCTCTCTGTCTTTTTCTCTATTTCTCAGTTCTGCTCTTCTGTGTATTCCTGGGCCTCCATGAGCTGTGGTCTTCCGAAGCTTCACACATCCTTTAGCTCAGCTTCACCTAAAAGAAAACCTGTCTCTCCCAAGGTTCCCAAGAGAGCCTTGGATGTTGTGCCTCGTAGGACCAACTTAGTTCACATGCCTGAACCCCAAACAAATCACTGCAGTCAGAAGGATGACATACCCCATCACCTGCTCACCCTACAAAATCACACGAGTTGCAGAGGGAGGTGAGGTGCTCATTGAAGAGGAGGAGGAACACGTTGGGAAACCAAACACAGGAAATGTCTGTGTACTTTACTTTTGCATTTCCTGCTGAAGGAGGGATTTCCCAACTGTCATGTCACTTTGCCCATGGACATTTCCTGGCTAGGAAGGCAAAGTCTGTGAAGGAAGGACATTGAGAATCCTTTACTTCTACTCTTCTCCCTCTGGACAGTTATCGGTACCTTACAGAATTTCTTGAGGTTGGAGGTGTCTTAACACTCTTGGAAATACTTGGTCTGGAGAAGATCAAGGAAGAAGACAAGAAGGAGTCCATCAAGCTACTTCAGACAATTGCAAACTCTGGGAGAAAGTATAAGGAGCTCATCTGTGAAAGCTATGGTGGGTGATATGCATGACAAAGTGTTGGGTCTCGCCTCTCCCCAGGGGTCTAGGTGAAGTGGTGGCAGCATCCTCCACTGCTGTGGGGAAAGGCACCACAGAAGCGGCCGTGTGGGAAGCTCTCTGTACAGTGGCCCAAGTCAGCCACTCTCGTCACTGCCAGAAGACCCAGATTTGTGACTACTCAGATTCATCATTTGCTCAAATCTTTCCATGTTGTTTTTGGAAATACATCCTCACTTTATTTTTTTTAAGATTTATTTATTTATTTATGCATACAGAACTGGGGTACAGGCCAGAGATGTGGAGGGTGAGAGGACACATCAGAGACAGAGCAGGGAGCAGAACAGGCAGATCGACGAAGTACACTGCTGAGGGGAGCAGCGGGCGGGTCAGGAGAGGTCTGCCACGCCATATGGATCTCCTCCAGGGCAGGCGGGGATCGAACTCATGCGAAAGTGACTTAAGCTTCTTAGTGCAGTGCTTTAACCCGCTGCGCCACCAGGGAGGGCCTGACTTGAAATTCTTGAAAAAGATTTTGACCAGCTGCCAAGGCTTTGCTGAAACAAAAGCCTTCATGAAGCGAAGAGACAGTGTGAGGACTGAGCCTCAGTTTTGCTCTGCTGAACAGGTTTGGTGTTACCCATTACGTAACATGACTCAGATTACGTCCTCTTGAATGAGGATTGTTTCCATAAATCCCTCTAGTTTAGCTTTTCCTCTCTTCTTTGCCCAGGTGTGCGATCCATAGCACAATTTTTTGCTACGTCTAAGTCAGAAGAGACCCAGGAAGAAGTACAGATTCTGTTGGATTCTTTGGTCCACGGTAACCCCAAGTACCAAAATCAAGTATACAAAGGTCTAATAGCTTTGCTGCCCTGCGTGTCCCCGAAAGTTCAACAGCTGACCCTGCAGACTCTCAGGACTGCCCAGGTGAGCCCAGGCTGCGCGCCTGGTTCTGACTCAGATGCAGTCGCTTCACAATTACCTTCCACAGTTGCCCTCCGGGCCGGCGTGCAGAACAGGGCTCAGCCTCCCGCCGCACGTCTGCTGTTCAATCAGCGTTACTTCCAAGAGGCCAAGGCAGGGCAGAGAGTTCATGTCTCCCAGCCAAGTGATTTGTCCTGTTTACTTAAGGATCAGAAAGATGCTGGCAGACTGAAAAGTGTTTGAGACGAGCAGCAAGGGTGATGAAAGGACTGTAGCAAAGATCAGAGGAGCCCATCTGACAGGGAAAGAAACCTGGTGCATTAGCAGACGGCGAGTGAGACCAGAGCTCAGAGCTCCAGGAAGTTCCTTTCTCTTGTTTCTGCCTTCCTCTCGGACAGTGCCTGGGAACATGAGTGATGTCGGATTTGGGGCACGGTGACCACAGGCAGGCCCAGGTGTGGTGGGGTCGAGGCTCGAGGAGAGGCTTTGAGATGGTCTATAGAGCTTTCAAGGTGGGTGTCCAGCTTGGGTGGGTGCAAGCAGGGGGTCACCAGTAGGTCAAACGGTTGCAGAGGTAAGAGGTCGGTTGCTTAAAAAATTACTGAATCCTCAGCTGAGCCTTCCCGTCGAATCTGACAGCTTTCAGATGGCTTTAGGTAATACCTGTTTTCTTGTTTAACCTGATTCCTACCTTATGTGAGGAATCACACTGCCCAGGACATCTAGTAGAGATGCTTACTGGATAGTAGAAAAGTCTCAGACCCCAGAGAAAGTCCCAAAATGATAAAGGCAGTTTGGTTTCATGAGCAGAGAGGCGATAACTGAAATAAGGTCAGAAAGGTAGAAAGTGCCAATATTTAAGAAGATCTAGCAGGGTGGGTCCATCCACCATTACGATTTCCGGTTACCATTTGCTAGGTGCCTCCTCCATGCCACCGTGGCTCTCTCTTGGGCCCCACAGTAGCTGATGGAGGCAGATATCATTATCACCATTTTAAAGACAATGGAACTGAGCCATAAATGGGTGTTCAGTGATGTGTGCAAACTCACATTGAGGAAAAGGTGTTTACTAATAGTTATTTAAATTCGCTTCTCTCTAATGTCAGAGTGCTTATTCTTTGCATATAACATTCTGCCTCTTGGGAAAGGAGCAATGAAAGCCACAAAAGGAAAACAAGACTTGAAATGGAGGGAAAAGAGTTTCAATAAGGCAGACATGATGAGCTGGATCAATGAAGAGATTTAGTATGGATAGAACAGAAAGATGTCTGCAGCAGGAAAAGCTGTGGTGAATTAAGGCACTGTCCTATAGCAGGAAAAATTAAATTGCAACTACCTATCAAAGGATGCAGGGAGCATGAAGAAGTAGCTTTTGCTGGGTGTAAACAGGGAAAAGCCAGAGTAGACAGAATCAAAGGACAACTGTGCTCAATCTGGGTGAGTGTGAGGATGCTTAAAACCAAAGGAACCAAAGCCCAGGGAAAGGTGGCAGAGGTAGAAAGAGGAAGGGCCTGACTGGGTGAGTGCTGGAGAGAGGTTGCCATAGGTTCTTGGGAAGTTTCCACTCTCCTGGATGCACCCACCCTTCCCCTAGCCAAGGTAGCCGGCCTGTCCCTGCTCCCGGGGCAGGTGGCATTTACCCTCTGCAGACCCCCAGTTTAATCCTCAGCACCCACCTCTGCCCCTCCTCTCAAGAAGAAATTGACCTGACTGGCGTAGGCCCCTTTCCTCCACCTGCTCTACCTCTCCCCCTCAGCCACCTTGCTGTTTGGAAGTCTGCATTTTTCATTTCCTCCAGGTAGACCAGATCTAGTAACCACCTTGTCCTGCTGTATGTCTTGACAGTCCATCGTCGGCAGCACACACCCCAGCATCGTGGGCTGCGTGCTGAATGTGCTGCGCACAGTGCACCTGGAAGTCCAGTATGAAGGTAGGGAGGCAGAGGGCCCGGCCCCAGGAAGTAGGCCGGGCAGGGGTGAGCCCTAGGGAAACAGTTTTCTCTTAGTCACAAAGAGCCCTAGCTCGGTGCCTGAGGTAGCGCTGGCAGGTGGGATATGCTGGTTGGTGTGGATGGGCGAGTTACTCACAAGTGGCAGTGATGTCCTGCCCTCGAATCAGCCACGTGGTCCATGAACAGTTGTTAGAATCTGCCTGGTTGTTAGATCCCAGAGCTACCTCTGGTTCCCAGTCTTCTGTTGTGCATGCCCTCTAAATGGAAGTCACCCTGAGCAATGTCCTTTGTCTAAGAAACTAGGTTGGCTAATGTTCGTGTTCATAGGTGTTTGTGTAATGAGCACTTCTATGCACCACTCACTTGCATGCACCATTCCATTTTGTGCTCAAAATAACACAAGAGCACAGAGCCTGACACATACTAGGTATTTGAATAGTCAAATGAATGAATGGTGGCAGTAGGTACTTTTTTTAAAGATTTATTTATTTATGCTTACAGAATTGGGGTACAGGCCAGAGTTGTGGTGGGTGAGAGGATTCACCAGACACAGAGTGGGGAGCAGAACAGGCAGATTGATAAAGTACACTGCTGAGGGGAGCAGCGGGCGGGTCAGGAGAGGTCTGCTGAGCCATGTGCGTCAGCTCCCCGGCCCAGGATCGAACTCATGTGCAGTGGCTTCAGAGAGCTTCATAATGTGGTGCTTTAACCTGTTGCACCACCAGGGAGAGCTCTGAAGTAGGTATTTTTTAAAGATTTATTTATTTATGCATATAAGAGCTGGGTGTAGGCTAGGGTTGCAGAGAGGTGAGAGGATTCGCCAGAGTCAGAGTGGGGAGCAGAACAGATGAATTGACCGAAATACACTGCTGAGGGGAGCAGTGGGTGAGACAGGAGAAGTCTGCTGCGCCATGTGGGTCACCTCCTTGGCCAGGATTGAATTCATGCTGCAGTGGCTGTGGATTGCTTCATAGTGCTAAGATTTAACTCCTTACACCACCAGGGAAGGCCCATGGTATTTTTTATTTTAAAAACTAAAAGCAATGAACACAAAGAGATTAAGTATGCTTCCCAGGCTACATAGCTAGCTAGATTCAAACCAGATCTGTCTGACCTCAAAGTATATGCTTTTGACATGTAACATGACAGGATGTCATTTTCCTGCCTGTCCTAAGATGGTTCAAAGAAGGGATATGTTTCCAAAAGGAGAGGTGAAGAAAGGGTTCGATGACAAGGTTGAGCCTTGGAGAATAGGGCAGATATGGGAAGCAAAAAGAGCAGAGATCATTCCAGAGAGAGGAAAGGGAAACTTGAGGCTGAAGGCCAGTTGGGGGCGTTTGGGTTGTTCACACCATAACAGTGGGGCTGATATAGCGTGGTACAGACGCCTAGGGAAGAAAGTGGAGAGGACAGGTGTGGAGAATGAGGTAGGGGTTGGAAGTGGGTGGGCGGTGCCCCAGAGGTTAGGGCAGGAAACCCACTAAGCAGGAAAGGTCTGGGCATCAGGACATATCTCTGTCTAGGATCACAGGCTGAGCCCCAGGCCCAGGAAGTCTGGAAGGGGTAGAAGGAGCAGGTAGGTACCAAGTTCAGGTGTGCAAGTGAGATCCTGGGGAAGATCCACAAGGGTCTGGAGGCTCACCGCCAATCTAGATTCTTTTTAGGAAATTGAATCCCAGTTGTATTTTTCCTTAGTAATATTGTCGGTTTTTTATTTACTTGACTCCTGCCAGTATGCGTGGGTGTGTGGACCTTGCATGTGGGGCAGTAATGCTGTGTGGTGCTCTCCTGGAGCAGAGCTCTCCCAGTGAGGGGCGGCGCAGTGTGGGACCTGAGTCAAGTTCACTGGTGAGGTCCAGTGGCAGAGAGCTGTTGCTGGCACTGGAGCAAGGAGGGGACCTGGCCGTGCAATGTCAGTGCAGCTTCATCTGACAGCCGGGAGAGCACGGACTCCCCTCAGCCCACCCCACCCGGCAAGTGTGACCACTCTTGCTCAAGGGCCACTGCCCAGCTTAAGCATTTCTTCTCAAAGGTCTACCCTGACCTGCCTTCAGTCTCCTGTCCCCTATCAGCCCTCCTCCTTCCTTCCCCCCTCCACTCTCCTCCCTCCAGTCCCCGCCTCCATCAGAGCAGCTATCTGCCCTTTACATAGACTGCCTGCAATTTTATGCAACTCTTGCAGTTTTCCTCCTACATCCTCAGCGGTCCCGGCATGGTAAGGCCTAGTGATGTATTTCTTGAGTGACTCAGAGTGAATTCTTCCCACCCACTCTGTATTGCTTGTCTACCTCCCTTTCTCCTCCAGACCTCAGCAACTTTCAGGATCTGATTCATCTTTCTCCAGTTCCAGGCCTGGAACAAATGGGTGCTCAATAGAAGTTTGTTGAGTGCCACAGAAAAAAAAAGTTTAACTTTAGTTATGCTGATGAACCCCTTCCAGAGTTAGAACTGTTCTCAATGTCTGTCCATATCAGACCAAATGTTAGGTCCCCTGTATTTCAGAATTAATATTGTAGCAGTGGCAGCGGGTTATGAAACGTTGTTGCTACCTCTTTGATGTGATGTCTGCTCATGTGATAACAATGAAACGGTGCCTCAAAATCATTTCAGACATGCCAGACTCATACATTTGCTGGGGAAATGTCTGACAATATTTCTTGAAGCAGTCTAGAGGATGTGAATGCAACCGTTGTCCACTAGGGGGAGCTGTTTCACATGATGCCTCAGTGCACCTCGCTGACTAGATTACAGTACCCAGCTTCCAGTGAAACTCCCCCAGGGCAGTAAGCGGGAGCTTGGCAGACCGCAGATGTGGTCCTGACAGCAGTGGCCTTAAAAGGATTAGAGATGTATTTCTCTGAGTGCAAGGCACCAAATTGCAAGAGCGAGCCTCACCTTAGCCCTGGCCTTGGGTAGCACAAAGGAGATGAATCATTTGGGGCTTTCAGGTGGGACTCAGCTGGGACTGTCACTGCAGCTCCCACATAATTTAAGCTTCTCGCAGCTTGGTGGCTGTATTGCAAGAGGGGACAGCCAAGAGCAACCTTCCACGATATTCCAAGGTCGTGGTCCTTCACAAGTCACAAGCCTTATTCCTACCCAAATTCAAGGCAAACACACAAACCCCACATCTTGAAGAGAGGAGGCTTAAATGATAGTGTGGCCACGTCTTAAAACTTGGGACATATAGAAGTTGGGAGGCATGTGGTATGTGTCCATGTCTGTCCACGTAGGAAAACTTTTTCTTCCTTTTTTTTAAACATTGGGCTCTCTTAGGTTCAATGGGATTGTTATGAAAGGAAATTCTAAAGTCTTAATTTTATGAAACAAAAAACACCCTAAGAAATCAGTAGATAATTTCTTTCTTATCCTTTCTCAATATTTGAATGCAGTTTCCTAAAGTATGTTTGACTCATGGAGGTAAGGTAGATCAGAGAGTACAATTTTAAATATCTGGGGATGCCATGCCCTGGCAGATGCTTTCAAAAGAGGAAATGGGAGCCCTCCCTGGTGGCACAGTGGGTTAAGACACAGCCCTAAGGAGCTCAAGCCACTTCTGCACGAGTTCTATCCCCACCTGCCCCAGAGGTGACCCACATGGTGTGGCAGACCTCTCCTGACCCACCCTCTTCATCGATCTGCCTATTCTGCTCCCCACTGTGTCTCTGGTGAAGCCTCTCACCGCCCCTGCACCACTGGCCTGTACCCCATTTTTCCATATTTCTGTATGCAAAAATAAATACATCTTAAAAAGAGAGAGAAAGAGAGAGAGCGGGTCCTCCTGGTGGCCTAGGCATTAGAACTCGGCGCTTTCCCTGCCACAGCCCGCCCTGTGTCCTGGGTTCAACCCCTGGCCAGGCCCGGGATACGGCCAACAGATCTCTCCTGTTAAGCGTGTGATGGCTGCAGGAGCTTCTGAGTGTCCGTTCTTGTCCATTCTTCACTTTCAAGAGAAAGGGAAAGGAGGCTGGTGTCTTTATCCTTAGGGTGCTTTTTTGTTTCATTAAGACTTTAGAATTTCTTTTCATGATAATCCCATTGAACCTAAGAGAGTCAAAATTAAAATGAAGGGAGGACTTCCCCCAGGCAGTCATACCTAGAATTTATCTTCATTATAAACGCTTTGAAGTGAAAAATGGCATTGTCCTCCCAGGGAGGATGGCTATTCCAGGAACTGGTGGCAGGTGGAGACTTAATCATGACAAGCAGTCTAAAACCACAGAGCTATTCGCTCACAGGTCTCCTCCCCTAAAACCAGACATTTCAAAGTCATAGAGAGGTCTCTGGAAGGGGAAATTGATGAATTCTTTTGGGAACTTGAAATGTGTGTGTGTGTGTGTGTGTGTGTGTGTGTGTGTGTGTAGATATAAATATAGATATTAGTATCTTTCACAAATAAATTACTTTATGAACATAAAAATTACTACCTAGGACTTAATTAGAAAGAGACCAATCATTGTAAATTAACTTGCCAAATATAGGCTTGCCAAAAATCAAGTGGCCAAATGACCAATTTGCTGAGTGGCCAATTCACCAAATGACCAATTTGCTGAAAGCACGTTTCCTTTAAATGTCTGTGTTTAGAGCAGCCCCTATGGGTTGTGTTGTAGGGCCCCAGAGAGCTTCAGCCTGCCCTCTGCCCCCTAGAACCCCTCCTCCCTGTTTCCTGCCCTTGTCCCGTTCTTGCCCCTTCTCCTCCCCTTCCCATGCCCTCTGCTCAAGAACAGGCAGCAGGGCCTTCCAGGGCGGTGACCTCCAGTGGCTTCCTTCTCCTGGGCCACCACAGCCACAGAGAACCTGGGCAGAAATGCTGCTCTGAAGACAACATGAAAAGTCATTATGCTCAGACCCGGCTGACAGCTAGGAAAGCTGTTACATCATCCACCTATATCATTCTTGCTAGAGAACTAACTACCCCTAAAAGTGATTAAAGCAAAAATCACGTAAAATAAAATGCCAAATTCTGTCAGCTGTCCAAA